ATCTTTTCTGTGTAGACATTTTACTTACCTATAAAGTCGGAGATGATAGAGGTCAGAGAAGATAAGGCGCCAAGATTGCAGAGCCAATAAAAAGATTCAGATTTAGATCTGGCCATAAAGACTGTGTTCTTTGCACAGTACCATGCAGCCTTGCCTCGTAATTCCTTCCAGGCTTTTATTTACTTGGTTCTTAAATGCTAGTTACTGCCAGTATGTGATGATACTTGAACTAGGCGTGGTTAGGTGGCCCAGCATCCAAAGCAGGTGTGTCAGATTGTAATATAAAGAAGGTGATGGTTTGGCACGTTATCTCCTGGCTCTCCTCTTGGTGGAATGGGAGTATCAGTGTGTCGCGATCAGGTGACAGCTTCAGGAGCAGCTCTATAGCCTGCTGTGGTGTTAGAGTTAATATTGCCCATCATTTTCTTTTTTCTTGTCTTTTTCTCTTCTCTTTCATCTTTTGATTTTAGCTTTTTTACTTTCCTTTCTCTCTCTCTCTCATTCTTTTAAGAGACAGGGAAACCAGGCATGTCTTGTGGAAGGTCTAACATTTTCTCCAATATTTATGTAGCTGATGATTAGGCTTCATGAGGAGTTCCTTAGGTAACAAATTTGAGACAGACCAGCATTCCAAATGAAATTTTACCTCGAAAGTGAATGCAGTGAAAATCGGCACTGAGTAAATAACAAAATGAACGAATATTGAAACACCAACCTGTTTTCAAGGATTCAGGGTTCTGTGTTGTGTATTGTCATTGAGTCTGCTTGTGATAAGTTCAGTTGCCTTTTTAAAGTTGAGCTGAATTCTTCCTTCTTGGGTTATTATTTATGTTTCCTCAGTTTGTAAAATTCATTCGATCCTTTAAAACAGTAACTGTCTCCTGTCTCCTTGTAAGTCAGGTACACTGGGCCAGGCCGCCTTCTCACACGAATCCCTTCCTCACCTGGCTTGGCCTTTGACACCGCCTTGGGCCTCCCTGACTCCTTCTCCACCCCAGAACAAGGACTCTGCCTTTGCTCTGCCTGACCTGATGGGTTTAGACTGAACCATTTGGCAAGGAGGTGGGGGGGAGGATGGGAAAGGTCAGGTTTGATTTTTCGAGGCATAATTCTGGCGCCTGTATGGGGAGCGGGTGAGAGGCTGTTGGAGAGCCCAGTTTACAGGTGTTGCAGAGGCCAGGTGAGGGGAAGGGTTTGAACCCAGACACGTGGGGATCGATACGGAAGACCAAGCGCACTACAGTCATGATAGTGATCTGATTAATTATAGAGGTTATCGACACCGAGCACTTAAACTACGTATGTGCTAGAAATAATAAGTACTCGCTATGGATTTAACTCTCATGACGAATCCATGAATATAGGTCTTAACATTTTTGTTTTACAAATGAGGAAACTGAGTCATGGAGACATCACACATAATTTGCCCAAGTTTACCTCGCTGGACAGAGGAAGAGCCAGGATGGGAAGTCAGGCAGTCTGACTGTAGCACCTTTACCCTATGAGCATTATGCCAGTTCGGGGGGTTATTTTTCTGATCATCAGAGCTTTTCAGCAGTGAAAGAGCTACCCTGTGAGGTAATGGGCCTCACTTGATGGTCACCCGTCATCTCTGTTTAAGGGTCCCTGTTTACTCTGTGGTTGCATTGCCCTGAAGGAGCTTTCTATAAGTGCCAACCAAGATTCTGTAGTTCGATATACAGGGAGTTCTTGCTTTGCTTCGTTCTGATATGTATATATCTCTCTCACCATGATTTACCTAAATGTCCCCTAATAACACGCTTCAGAATTTACACAGTATATTAGCCGTAATGGCATAAACTACAAAACTCATGGCTATCTCTTCTGTCTATCAATTACTATGTAAATAACAGGTGTGCATCATATCAGTGACCTGTCATCTCACTTCTTTCAAAGCCTATTGGTGACTGGTCACTGCTGATGTCAGTCCATGCACAGACAGCAAAGCATGTAGTTGTGTTCCAATCCTTGTCTCCTAGTGATAAACTCATGTGACATTTTACAAAAATGAGAGGGAACTGGCCAGCAAAGATGAAAGCGCAGCAGAGAACCCAGAAGCGAAGGAAAATTCGAGTCGAATGGGACTGGAGTTAAAGAGGAAATGGCTCACTGTGGGAATGGTGACTCCTGCCATTCCGAAGACTGGCTGTGCAGCCACAGGAGCTCTGTGAAGGTGAGCTCATCCGTGTGAAGGAGGGTCGTGGTTTGGTGAGAAAGATGAAGCCGTCCCAGAGAGAGCGACACTGCAAGAAATTTCATATTGAAAGAACTCAAAGCTACTTTGTGACATCGAAAGCACGAAAGAGATAATGCTGGAACCTGATTTAAACATAGGAGTATGACAGTTTGCCAAAGCACAGGAAAGATGCCATTCCATATCCGGAGCTACGTGATGAGGAGGAGGAGGAGGCTGGCATTGTTTAAACTGTTCTTGATACGTTTTTTTCAAAGAAATTATACACTGTAATTTTCAGCGTTCCTAATGTTTTACAGCTTACTAAGTACAATTAGTTTTCCTGCATTTTTCATTTTCTTATACAGTTACGGCTGACAGAATTTTTAATGTTTTGACAAAAACATTTAAAGATAACAGAACAATTATAATTTTTCTCATTGATATCACGATCATTTTGCGGAGTTTCAGCTTGCTTTGTCATTTTTCTGGCCTTGCAGTACTCTACAAAATGAAGACTGCCTGAACCTAATTGTTAAAAGTTTAATTTTTCTCTATAGCTTCTAGTGCCACCCTCTAGCCTTTTCTTGTAGAAGTCTGTATATACATCTAACAACAAACCATGTTTTTTTTTTCCAGCAAGCATTACTTTTTCTTTTCTTTCTTTCTTTTTTTTTTTTTTTTAAATATACCTACTTAAAAGGAATAATATTTGTCTCAGAATAACAAGAAAGGAAACATGCTTGAAGCTGGCGTTAAGGGTATCTCATAGGAAGGAAGGTGACCTGCTAATCCTTCCCCTCCTCCCCCTCCGCCCCAGCCCCTTGCTACCTCTAACCTTTCTATCTCTACAGATTTGCCTGTTCTGGATATTTCATATAAATGGAACAATACAATATGTTGCTTTTGTGACAGTTTTTTTCCCCATTTAGCATAGTATTTCCAAGGTTCATCCATCTTATAGCTTATGTTAGCATTTCATTCCTTTTTATGGACACATAATATTCTATTGTATGGATATACCACATTATGTTTATTCATTCATCTGTCGATGGACAGTTGGGTGGTTCCCACTTTTTGGCTGTTATGAATAATGTTGCTGTGAACATTTGTGTGCAAGTTTTCATTTCTCTTGGGTATATACCTAGGAGTGGAATCACTGGGTCGTATGGGAACTCAGTGTTTACCCTATTGAGGAACTGCCAGAGCGTCTCCACAATGGCCACACCGTTTTACATTCCCGTTAGCCGTATATACGAGGGTTCCGGCTTCTCCACATCCTCTCAAACACTTGTTGTTATCTGTCCTTTTGATTATGGTCATTCTAGTGAGTATGAAGTAGTATCTCACCATGGTTTTGATTTTCATTTTCCTGATGACTGATATGCTTATTGGCTCTTCTTATGTCATCTTGGGAGAAATATTTGTTCAGATCATTTGCCCATCTTTAAATCAGGTGGTTTTTTGTCTTGTTAGTACTGAGTTATAAGAACTTTTTGCATAGTCTAAATATAAGTCCGTTATCAGATATGTGATTTGAAAATGTTATACGTGAAAATATATTTTCTCCCATTCTCTGTGTTGTCTTTTCACTTTTTTGATGATGTCCTTGGAAGCAGAAAAGTTTTAAATTTTGACGAAGTCCAGTTTACTTATTTTTTTGTTGCTTGCGCTTTTGGTGCCGTATTTAAGAAACAATTGCCAAATCTGAGGTCACGAAGATTTACGTCTATTTTTCTCTAAGAGTTTTATAGTTTTAGCAGTTACATTTAGGCCTTTGTTCCGTTTTGAGTTAATTTTTGTAAATGGTGTGTGAGTAGGGGGTCCAGTTTCACTTTGTGTGCCGGATGTCCAGTTGTCCCAGCACCATTTGTCGAAAAGACTTATTTACTTTTCAACAAAGGTTGAAAATAAGACTGTAAATGTGAAGATTTATTTTTGAACTTTCTATTCAGTTGCATTGATCTTTATGTCTGTGCTTATACTGGTACCATATTGTCTTGATTACTGTAGCTTGTAGCCTGTTTTGAAATCAGAAAGTGTGAGTCCTCCAACTGTGTGTTCTTCTAATTTCAGGATTTTTTTTTGCCTTATTCCAGGTACTTTGAATTTCCATTTGAATTTTAGAACTATCTTCTCGTTTCTGCAAGGAAGCCAGCCAGAGTTTTGGTAGGATTGCATCAACTCCGTAGATGAATTTGTGGAGTGTTACCATCTTAAGAATGTTAAATCTTCCCACCCACAACCTTGGGATGTCTTTTCATTTGTTAAGATCTTTTCTTTCACCAATGTTTTGTATTTTTCAGAATGTAAGTTTTGTATTTCTTTTGTTAAGTTTATTTCTAAGTATTCTATTGGATGCTTTTGTAAGTGGAATTATTTTTTAATTTCATTTTCGGATTGTTCATAGCAAGTGTTCAGTGCTCTTGACATTGACTTTGTTGGATTTAAAACTTTTAGGAATCGAGGGTCTTCTTGGCTTGTAATTACAAGAAGTGGAGGCTTGTACTGTAGGGTGCTCTTATGGAGCTCTGTTTCAGCGTTGGCTTTCAAGCAGCTTGTGGTCAGATTTCGAGCCATTAGTGATCGCTTTTTAGGCCACTTGTGCTTAGGAGTGCCAGACCGATGACTACATATGCTGTTTGTATGGTCAGCGTGACTGGTTTTCAAAAGCCCTTTCAGTTGTAAAGCAAATGACTCGGCAACAAAAATGCCTTTCATTCTTATCATTCTTTTGTTTTCTTGGTGTGAAGAGGCCTGGTGAAGAGGAACAGTTAGGTTTCCATGGTTTACCAGCTTGCGTTACAGGAAGTCTGTACAAGGATTGTTGGGCCAAACAGCCTTCAGATTAAAAACCAACCTTGTTGCAAGGCAGACGCCTCCTGCGGATACTAAACCTGTAGTTCAATGTAAGAAGAGTTGAAGGTTTCACTTTTGAGATTATGTCTTCAATTATGTAGGCATGTTTCTGGTAAGTACGGTTTTACCATCTACATCAGAACTAGTTGGGCTACTTTTTATTTTATTATATTAAAAAAAATTTTTTTTTAGGTGAGGCAACCCTTGGTTGACCTCACAGATTGCAAGGACCTTGTCAGCTTACAATCCCTTATTTTTTACATCTACAGCACTTGGTCTTCCTAGGTGGTCTCCCATCCAAGTACTAACCAGGCTCGACCCTGCTTAGCTTCTAAGATCAGACATCGGGCTTGTTCAGGGCGGCACGGCCCCACTGGGGCGTGAACCCAGGACCTTCTGTGTGTAAAGCAGATGTGCTAACCGCTACACTATGGAAGCACGTCTGGGCCTACTGTTTTACTGGCTGAGTAACTTTAGGCAGGTTATCTAACCTCTTAAGTACCTCGGTCTACTCATTTAAGTATCTGGGAATAATAGGAGACCTACATATCAGAATTGTTCAACATATTAATTGGATTGATATACGTACAGTGATTAGTATCTGTAATATAAGCACTCAGTTGATGTAATGCTAGAGAGAAATCATTGTTTTTTCATTCCAATCACACCTAAGGTAGGTTCAATACTGGTACTAGAATATGAAGTTTGCTTTTTCAGTTGTCACAGTAGTAGTTTTTTACTGGCATTAAGTCTTTCTGTTCACTTGCAGAATAAATGAGTTTTAGAAATGGTCAATATGTGAGTTATTTTTTTCCCTATGATCCCTTTTTTTCCTTTTCATCACCCGAATTGTAAAAATAGATCTGGTTTCCTAGGTTATCACAGCTTGTAACAAAAAGCTTTTTGATAAAGTTGGCTGTTGGGTCAGCAGGATGAGATCATTCCTTCCTAAGTAGTTTGCAATGTCCAAAGTATTTGTTGGAACAAAAGCCTGCCGGGTAGGCTAACCACACAATGAGCCTGACTTTGTGGTTCTGTGCAGGGCAGGAGTGTGGGTTTTCTGTGTGATAGAATACTGCTGATATGTAGAAGAAGGTGAAAGGTACCTGGCAAAATACCTGCGCAGTCTGGCTGGCCACGTGTACGAAGAGATTGGAATGATAAAGGGGCTCAGGATACACTTAAGGTTGGAACCTGGTCTTAGGCCTTCACTGAGATGTGATGAATTAGTTGAAAGAGTAGTAGCTCTTCTACATTTGGATTAGTGCATCTCTAATTAAAAATATTAGAGACATCTTGGAACTAGAGAGAGGTGGATGTCACGGAACTGCACACTTGAAAATGGTTAATTTCACCCAAATAAAAAAAATTATTAAGGACAGCTGGGAGGAACACTAATATACTCACTTTTCTGTTTGTACCAGAATAAATTGTACACTTGGGAGTTTTAACCAAGGCTTTAGCTGTCACATCATGGATAGTGCCTAGTAGCATATGCAAGAATTGATAGTTAAATAGCAGATAAAAATCTATCAGGTGGGCATGCGATTTTAAAAAAGGATAGCTAGTTGGTGCTATTTCTGATAGGCGGATGTGGCTGGGCTTAACCTTGTTGACCGCTGTGAAAACTAAAGCATTCTAACCTGTTATAGGAAATGGTCGGAATTATAATACCCCTTATCTTTCACTTGCTTCCTGCTTTGAAATATAGGACTGAGAGGAAATCCTGGTTTTAGTTGTGACTCAAGGATGACCTTGAACGAGTATCTTTGTTAAACGCTTTGGCCCTTTTCTCACTTATAAAACTAGGATGGATTTTAAAAAGTTTTGTGGTTTAATTGGAAATATTAGATACATTTTGCTAAGTTGTTTTGTTTCTCTGAGCATGAATAAGTTGGCATTCCAGAGGACTAGCGGAAGGACTTGAGATTTGAAGCTTTAGTTCAGAGAGCCGGTTCGTTTCCAGAGATCAGAGACTGGGAAGGTACGCTGCTCTGACATACTTACTGAGTCTCTCCAGGGCATGGGAGATCGGGGAGGAGCGGGGGAGTGCAGTTTTAGGTCAAAGGTCAGACTTAAGTAGGAAGTGAATAATGGTTGTTACTAGGGTGTTAAAGAGGGTGTCTATGCTGTCCTTTTCCTTAGCTCTGTTTCCGAAGACCTGTACCGAGGAAAATAAGGGAAATGCTGTGAATAGTTGGTATTGTTCTATATTTCAGAAATTTCTGTAAGTAGGCTCAGGTTCATGATTTTTGATGCTTAAACCAGGGGTCCTCAGCCTCCGGTCCGTGGCTCATTGAACTGGGCCGCATAGCAGGAGGGGAGCGGTGGGCGAGCGAGCAAAGCTTCACCTGTATTTGCAGCCCCTCCCGAGCGCTAGCATCACCGCCTCAGCTCCACTTCAGATCATCAGGCATTAGATGCTCATAGAGCACTGGTCCCTGGTGCCAAAAAGGTTGGGGACCGCTGGCCTAGACAACGTAAAATCCTGAGATGGCACTTGGCTATTCAGGTACTTGATTACTGCTGTAGAGCTGACTGACCACGGTAGACCCGTACATCTGACCATGTTCAGAAATAAAAAAGACAACTTATTATTATTGCATTGTTTTTAAACATAAATATGCCCATCTAAAGATTTTAAAAATTAATTTAAAAAATTTTAGAAAATAGATTAAGAGTTACAGAACAGTTAGGAGGATGGTACACAGCTCCCGTATGCGCCACACCGTTTCCCCTACTGTGAACATCTTACGTTAAGATGGTATGCTCGTTAAAATTAATGAACCAATTTTGATACGTTATTATTAACTAAAGTTCATGCTTTATTCAGATTCCATTTTTCTGTTTTAGGATCTCATCCAGGATACCACATTACCTTTATTGTCATGCTTAGGCTTTTGTTGGTTGTGACAGTTTTCTCAGACTTGATTTTCGACGACTGTGACAGCTTTGAGGAGTCCCCGTCTGATACTTTGTAGAATGTCCTTCAGCTGAGATTTGTCTGATCTTTTTCTTACGATTAGACTGGAATTATGGTTTTTGAGAGGAAGATTACAGCGGTAAAGTGCCATTCTCATCACATCAAGGGTATATGTACTTGTCGACCTGATTTACCGCTGTTACTGCTAGCCTCGATCACCTGGCTTAGGTGGCGGTTGTCAGATTCCCTTGTTCCTCCCTTCCCATAGCCTACTCTTCGGAAGAGGGTCGCTGTGTGGTACCCACGAAGGAGCTAGGGTTCAGGTTCCGCCTCCTAGTAGATGGAATATGTACATTAATTCTTTGGAATTCTTCTTCATGGTAGATATATTTATGCTTCTTTACTCATTTATCCATTCATTTACTTATATCAGTATGGATTCATGAATATTTATTTCATGTTTTGGGCAACACTCCAGTACTGTATTGTGTTGCTCTCATTGTTCCAGCTTGGTCACTGGAAGCTCTGTCAGCCGCCCACTGTTCTTTGGACATGCCACTATTAAAATTAAAAAAAAAAAAAAAAATCATCTCCTAACTTTCTGGTGTTCCAGGATACTCCAGGCTTCACTTGTATATTTATTACTCCGGTCCTAGAATTAGCTATTTGTCCAGGAGGCCCTGCTTCCTTTGTCAGAGAATGGTGTTAGAAACCAGGACCCAGGCACACGAGTGCTCACTGCCTGCTTACTGGAGTGTCCCCAGAAGATTTGAATTAAACCATATCTGCATTGGAAAGGAATAGAAATGCATATTTAAGGGGACAAAAATTAGGTTTGATTCTGTTTCAGACTTCTTTCTCCCATTCTTTTTTCTTTCTACCTCCTTTTACTGCAGTTGTATTGAAATGTAATACCAAATCTTAAACTATCTTGTAAAATGCCATTATGCAAGTGGTCTGTAGCTCTAACATATAGGGTTTTAAACTGCTGAGATTACTAATTAGGAAGTACGAGTATGCATTCTTGCTCCCTCCTTAAAGCACAGGTGTCCCGATAGAGCTTTTCACATCACTGACAAACCCTTGAAGGAAGAGGCAGTGGTGATTGCCTCTCAGGCAAGTAAGGCCTTTGGGGCATGTGAATCAAGTTCTGATAAAGCTCTAAAGGAATCACCACAGGTTTCATGGTATGTGGGTTTTCTTTTTTCCTCCCTCTTTCTCCCATCTTTCCTGTCTAGTGATTTTGTGATTTAGTTAAACCCAGCCACTAAAACATAGCCAAAATGCCACTACCGTTAGGAACTGTTTAGAAATGACGATTATTTCAATAGCTCTAGTGCAGGAATCTCTTACTTCAGCTCTTGTGGCATCCTGGCAGTGACGGTGAATGAGCGAAGCTGGCTTGGAATAAGATCGTGCTGCGTTGCACTGTCTGAGTGGGTGTCTACAGAAGGCAGTGACTTCTCAGCTCCAGTACATTACTGCTGAGTGGGAATCGCACGCTAGTCCTCTGGTCTTTTTTGAAAGAAGTCAATCTGAATTTTCATGCAAAAATTTCCGATTTTTGAGACATAGGCATAGTTTCTCCAAAACACTCTGCAGGCCGCTGCACCAAGGGCCCTGTTTGACCTAGGATTGCTGCATTGTGACCTCTAAACATGTGCTTCTCTTGTGGGTTCAGTGAGTACGCATTCTGGGAAGAGAACTTTGGGCTGGGCGGGAGTTGGAATAGGCTTCTGATTTTAGCTTTTCCACTCATTGGCTGGCTGCCTTTGGGCAAGGGAAAACCTCTTAGGATCTCACTTTACTAGTTGTAAACTGTGAGAGTAAACTGGTTAATTTAAGGTCCCACCCTTACTCTTTATTATTTTATATTTTTATGCATGCGTTTTTTCTCATTAATTTATTAGGGTGACAGTGGTTAATAAGATTATATAAGTTTCAGGTGTACAATCCTGTACTACATCATCTGTATGGTGCACTGTGTGCTCATCACCCAAAGCTAAGTCTCCTTCCGTCACCATGTCTTTGATCTTGACCCCCTTTACCCTTTTCGATCTCCCCCCACCTCCTTTCCCCTCTGGTAACGGCCATACTGTTCTCTGTGTCTGTGAGTTTTTTGGTTTGTTTGTTCGTTGCTTTCTGTTTTGTATCCCACATATGAGTGAAATCGTGTGGCTCTTGTCCTT